AGGGCATACCCTTCGCTGCGAAACCTCGATTGTCCTGCTCCTTAGAAGACCTGCCTCCCTTCCTCTAGGTATATTTTCCCCTTCTTCGACCTCTGATCTTGTCATGGCATGGAATCCTGCTTCAATCCAAGATAATTGGAGACACATCGCCTGGGTGGATTCGATTTCACGGACTATGGCGGACAGGAAGAGTTGGACTTTGGAAGCAGGTCTCACCATGGAGCACACACTGGAAGGCCCTATGGGACTTAATGACACAGTAAGCTGCAAAAAAATGTGAGCTTCAGAGTTTCCACCGTAATCTCTTTATGCCTACTTACCGAGCGAAGTAATTCTTGTGTCTCCGGCTTCAGCTTTTGGAACTTTGGTGTAGAATGTCGTATTCAAGAAGCTGATCTTTTCATACACCTAAATCAAGGAGCATCGCTTTTTTAGGTGCCTGAAATTCAGTAGAACTGCTAAAAGCTATTTTTGTGAAGGTTGCATACCGTTGGTAGTTTCTCTTGCAGCAGTTCCACAATTTCCGCTTTGTTTTCGGGCTTCTTAATTCTTCCATTGTACCAATCCGACATAAAACTCAACAGTTCACCCTTTTCCGTTAAGTTTAGCTGGAAATATTTTTCCAGTAATAGTTTGTTATTGATTGACATGATCGATATGATATCATTGAATACTCACATTATCAATTGTTGTCATGAGATCTTGAGGCAGCATGCCTGGAAAATTTCAGGTAAACTACAGCATTTGATGACAAAGAAAATTGAGTGCTAGGCGTTGATAGACTCTTTTGCGGATGCGCCATGCATTCGGCAACAATGCACAGTCGTTGACATGTCAATACGTGCTGAGTCCTTTATGCTTATTATTGCTAGGGTTGAGGTGATTCAGTGGCAAGTAGCGCCCCTTACTACGTACGCGATAAAAGGGTTCTACCCCAGGGTAAATTTCGCCCAAGTCTGCCAAGCCCTTCATTTTTCCAAGGTCGATTGAATGGTGTACTCGCTTTCTACCTGGCTTGGTTCCTCTCCCCGATCATTGTAAACCAACCCTCTTTTAGGTGCCACTACGATTTTGAAGAGAAATAAATGCACGGCGCAACCCAGTAGGATCAATGAAAGCCTATGATTTATCTTTTTCGAATTGTGATATGATAACAAACCTCGAAACAT